ATGGTATGTGATCAAGTCATAATTAGTCATAGTTAACACATAATTGGTCACAATAGTCATAATAAACACATACTTCGTCGCAGAGGATCACCACAAACAAATCTGCACACACCGTAGACCAGCATCACAATCCAACTCTCGTCATCACCACCATCACCTCCAATGCACTACTATTACCACTACCACTACCACCTTCAACACAAATCCACAATCATAAATAATACATTCACCTCAAATCCACAGCAAACATCACCACCACCATGACTTTCACCAACACCTTCAACAAATTGACCATGGTACAATCTTTGCTTGTTTACAGCCACCACAAAGTCTCTACCTATTTCACCAGACTCATAGCTACCACTGTCTAAACAATAAATATACAAGTTCAAACATAAATCCAATAACTAATCAAACAAAACACGGGCAAGTGAGAGTATGCTTGTAAAATTATTCTTCGAAACTAAATCAAAATTCATCATTCCAAATTAAAAAGTATAATCAAAATGGGATATACAAGCAATTCAGGGTTGCGAAAATAAATCCGTGCAAGTCGAATCCCTAGACTCGCGATTCTAAATGCCCACATAACATTTTTTCGAGCCCTAGCATAGACTCACACTTGTAGCATCCACACTGAGAAAGGGCCAACCACCACATTACAATCGCCATTTCCACGTGCACAAACACCATCATCATCACCAACAAACAATTGCCCAACGATGTGCTCACGCTATGTTGTAGTTGCATGCTCACATCGTTTCAGATCGACATCGAAGCAGCGATGAAGAGAGATAGCATGGCATCACAGATTGACGCTATGCTCACATCGTCACAATGACATCATTGTCGTCAAGTCACCAGATTGCACGATGAAGAGAGAGATGGTAGAGAGTGAAGAGATATGCTGAAGAGATAGAAAGAAAGAAGCGAGAAATGAAGTTTGGGGGTGCCAAGAGTGGGATTGAATTCGAGGGTGGGGTGGATTTGTTATAATAAATTTGTATTAACTAAATTAATAATTCTTAATTATACCTTATTTATGATTTAAAAACTAATCCCCACTGTTTATGAGAATTAGTCTTTAAAAGTAAGTTTCTACATAATTTTCCCCTAAAAGTTATTATTAATAAAATATTCTTGTTTCAGTCCATTTAAAAATCTTGACTCCGCTAGCCCAACTTGTGGTTACTTTCTATTATCATTCATTTATGGAAAAATTGCAGCCACGATATCAAACCTTTCACATTTTTGCAAAATTTGCTCAAACCTTTCATTTCTGCCACCCACGGTACCAAACCTTTAAACAATTCGTACCAGGAGTCCAAATTGACATAAACCTTTAGTTGACCAAAAAATAAAAATCTGACCAATTGTTGACTAATTCTTAAAGGGCAAAATGGTAAGTTTTGCTTTTTCATTTAAAAAAATAAAATCAAATAATAAAATCAAAATCCGAAAAACCGTATTATCTTCCCCATCCACCCCACCTCACCCCCACCCAACCCAAAATCAAAACTGCCGGCACCACCAAACCTACCTCCTCCACAATCCAAAGGCAACAATCTCCGGCGCAAATAGGTGGATGATGGGGAAAGAACATGCAACTGCTTATCCCTTTCATTTGAGCTAATCGCCTACCTTTCATTTGAGTACTTTTCTCCGAATGGATGGATGATGGGGAAAGAACAAGCAACTACTTATTCCTTCATCTAATCTTGTCATCAGACGAGGACACATCAGAAAATGAACTATGCAACTTGTTTTCAGATGTATAAACTGACAATTGCATCCGATCTGAGATAGAATTTCCACGTTTGCAGATTCTTCACTTCCAAACGTTGCCACACTACCTTCCGCTGAACCCAATATAAATTTACTTGGCCATCCACAATGGCGGAGCCCAGTATGGTCCAGTGTGGGCACAGGCCCACATTGAACTTCTGGGCTTGAATTTATTTATTTTTAGTTATACCCAGGCCCCAGCGTCCAAGGCCCATCCCAACATTTTTTCTCCTTCCCACCCAGGCCAGACAGGTAGATAGCTCCATTCCATTTCACTCCCCAAATTGCCAAATCCCACCGTCTTCTCCTGTTCTTCATTTGTGCAGCCGCAGCCAGGCAGCCTCAGAGAGTCGAGACTTTGTACCGTGAGTCCGTAACCCGTCTGCTCCAAGCTTCCACTTCACTTCACACCCGCCTGCTCCAAGCCTCCATTTTACAGTTTCACCTCACACTTTGGCACCGGTAAAATACACAGATTTACGAACTATTGAAAATTGAAATTTGAGTTGATTGGTTTTGCTGAATCATTTGATGATTGCTTGAAATTTGTGTTTTTCATCCTTGCAGAGGCGAAAATTGATTTGGCCCATCACTCATCATCCCTAAATGGCTGAATTAGAACACCACAGTACACCTTCAGGCTTCAGCTATCTCTGGTTAGTCTGTTACTCTGTTATGAATTGAAAGTTGGGTATTGTTGAAAATTGAAATTTGGGTATTGTTGAGTAGAAATTGCTGAAGTTTGGGAATTGTTGGATTGAAATTGTTGAAATTTGGGAATTGTTGAAAATTTGGGTATTGTTGAGTAGAAGTTGCTGAAATTTGGGTATGAATGTATTGAAATTGTTGAAGTTTGGGAATTGTTGGATTGAAATTGTTGTTCTTTGAATATTGTCGAAAATTGAAATCTTATGAAGAGATTCTTTCAAAGAAAAAGGGACTTGGAGAACGCAAGTGTTGATGGGGGGATCCCGGGGACATCGAATAATATTGTTTTATACTTTTATTATCATTACATCCATGACAAAAATTCGACGTTAAACATCGATATGTTGTGCCCCACCTGAGAAGAAATCCTGGCTCCGCCCCTGGCGGCCCATATCAACACCAACCCTCATTTGCGTCAGACTCTACCCGAGCTTTGCCAATTCTTCAAGCTCTTGATACAACTGCTCCGTGCTCCCAAACAAACTTCTCAATTTTCTGAACCTTCATCTCCATCTTCTTAAGCCTGTATTGCCACCATATCTATTTGGGATCTATCTCACCTGGATCATCAAATACTCGTTCAAGATTGTGGAATAGTGGGTCTTCGCACTTCTACCCCATAATAGCCACCGACTTCGCCACACTCACCAGATTCTCAAATATCTCAGCAAGAATGAGATCCATCAGATAGTCCTTATTTCAGGAAACTAGTTTTTGAATGCCAATTGAGTCTCAATTTAACAATCTGCTGATCACCAAGACACGCTAGAGATTGTTGCCCTTGGACGGTGGCGGAGGTGGGTTTAATAGTGCCGACAGTTTTGATTTTGGGTTGGGTTGGGTTGGGGTGAGGTGGGATGGGATGGGGTGGGGTGGTTGGAGAAGATAATAGGATTTTTTGGGTCTTGATTTAATTATTTGATTTTAGTTTTTTTATATGAAAAAGGGAAAGTTACCATTTTTCCCTTTAATAATTAGTCAACAATTGGTCAGATTTTTAGTTTTTAGTCACTAATGATTTTTGTCAATTTGGACTTCGGGTGCGAATTGTTTAAAGATTTGATATCGTGTGTGGCACAAATGAAAAGTTTAGGCAAAGTCTGCAAAAAATGTGAAATGTTTGATATTGTGGCTGCAATTTTCCCTTCATTTATCAATGAAAATATTAATAAGTGAAATTCTCATCCGCCGTCCCTGAACATTACATTTTATTGCACTCAAGTCCCATTCATTTGTTATTCACATTTTGCTTTAGCCAATGCCTGTCTTTCATTTTTTCAAATTTTTTTTCTACATACTCATTTTCAACTATATATTCATACAATAAAACATTCTACATATAAATCCAATTTTTTTTTTTTTTTACATTTGAACCACACATTCTACAAAAATTCACTATTTTAATTTTTTTTTTTTTTTAAATGACCACCAAACAAGGACTTGGGGGTCTCCAAACTATCTATTTTGGTGCACGTAGGATTGGAAATCGTTCAACTTTCATCAAATAATCACTAACAAGAGTGAAGGGCTTATAGCATCTCCAATCATTTTATAGATTTCAAGTATGTGGCTGACAAATAAAAAGACTTTCACTGTATATTTCAATGGTGACTAATGAATAAATTATCAAATACAAATGTTATATATACTAAATCTTGTCTATAACTCAGAATTTATTTAACTAGTTAGAAAAAGTAATTTTTTTCCGACTCACTTCCTCTAACAGAGCCTATATATATATATATTTATACGATCACTTCTACATCTACTTTCATCGCCACATCAGCTAGAAAAAGTTTCACTTCAATTGCATTCGAGAATTTATTTTTGTAGACATCATCTATTCTGACTTATGCGATACATTTCATGCAATTCACGTTAGTATTAGAGATGCTTATAGGTCACAATTGATAGAAATAGCTCTGAAAGAAAATGTTACGTCTTTGTTTTGTAGGGATTATAATTTAGATTTTATTCTAAGTCAAAATCAACAATTAATTTTAATCACATATTTCATGATATTCACAACTTTTCAACCACACATTTTATCAATTTTGATCAAAATCTATTAAAAGTTTGATTTTAATCCCCACAAAAGAAGGGCTACGTGTCTTTAAGTGACTATTTGACGAGCAGTTTAGAGACCTAAATGCGACCAAAAAAATGTTAGGACCCCAAGTAAGACAAATAGTAATGTTCGGGGACAGTGGGTGAGAATTTGCCATGAAATAATAAAAAATACACACAAAAAATCAGAATTAAACGACCGACCGGTGCTGACGTCCATCATACGCTCCATTTATTAGATCCCTCTTTTCACCTTTCTTCAATCTGGTAAATTTTTCTGCATTCTCTCCCTAAATTCATCTTCGTTATATTTTTCAAAATTCAAATTCTCGATGGTATGATTTCTCCCATCCTGAAATAATTATACAGGATTACTTTTTTGCCAGGGTTTTGTTTTCTGCTTATATTTGTGAAGAGAAAGGAAATTTGAATCAAATCAGATGGCCGCTCCACCCGCCAGAGCTCGAGCTGATTATGATTATCTCATCAAGCTACTGTTGATCGGTGACAGTGGTACGTGTATTTTTACGCACTTATAATTTTGATTTATTTACATTCTGATTGAGATGTGTGAACACGCTTTTAATTTGATATTTGATTTTTGGCTGGGGTTATATTTAAGATCTTTAGATTATTTTTATGATAGATTTTTTTGTGATAGGAAAGTGTAACGTGTCATATGATTTGCTGATAATTTATGTTTGGCTCATTGGGCAGTTATGAAAAAGATGTTAGATGAGGGTAACTCTGTTTAAACCTACATTTCTGCCAGCTAAGTAATATGAATAAACGAGTGGGTAATTAAATATTTTCACTTTGTTCTTTTGGGGAAAAGATGCACTCTTTAATAGTTATTATGTATGCACATGTTTAAGGCTCGTTGTCTAATGAACGGTTGCTGATTATATGCTTATGTTTGTGGTGTGCATTAGTATTTTTGAACTTTCTAATTTTTAATGCAGAATTAAATCCATAGAATTTTTTTTTGAAGAATAACTGAGGATTTCTGTACTTTTTGATCACCAAAATAAGTCGTTTGGAGGAGTTGTAGGAATCTGAAAAGTAGAATTATTAGAATTTAAGGAGACTTTACTCCGGTAAAGTTTTACTTGACAAGAAGATGATAAGTTTTTACCTATACTTTAGGATAATTATTCAAATAATGATCTGAACTAAATTTTATAAATGTAAAAACTGGATGAGGTTATGGGAGATTCTGTGATCTTGTCTATTAAATCCCGTTTAACCTGAAATAAGTAAAGCCCATCTGAAGGTAGTCTGTTATAGATTAATAATTGGTGGCTTTCTCTTGGCTGAGATTCCAATTAGGACTCCATAAGGCAGGATTACCCTTATACTGGAAAGTGCTATAATTTTGGATATGAGCTTGGCATGGAATTAGTTTTCTTTCTTAAGCCAATAAAAAACTCTCACTAAGGTAATGTGGGAGCATTTAATCCTTTAATTTAGCAGTTTCTTATTACTTTGTAAGCCAACAGGCTATTTAATCCCTGCATGTTATGTATAAAAGTATCAAAGAATTATCCTTTCAACTTGTTAAATCAGGAGGCCAAGGGTACCTCGAATTACCCTACCAAGGAGGACTAGGATCCCTCGAGTATCCTAGAAATTATCCAACAACAAAATAGGTAAGCCTAGCAAACTCAATCCGTGGGCTTTTCCTGTGCACAAACCAATTACACGTTCATTTTCTAAGCAACATAATATAATCTAGCTGCCCCATTTGGTCCACTTTCATGAATGAGGATAACTGTTTGTTAATTGTCGCTTGTGAACGTTTATAAAATAGAAACTATTGATTTTGATGACCAATGGCAGTGTAGTGTTCCAAAAGAATGTGATAGAACTGGGTGATAAAATTTATCTTTGGCTGACTTAAAAAACATTTTGTAATCCTATAATTATTTACGGAACTCCATTTTATTGGAAATAAGGTTTTACTTCTTGTTATTGTTGACTAAAGAAACTTTATCTGCATATCTTTATCAATTTTGCTTCTTATTGGTCTAGTTATTCTGTTGTGTTATAATATAATACATTGTTATGTTTTAATTGTAGTTTAACGTAACTGGATTTAAGATACATCTCAATAATGTATTTTTCAGGTGTGGGTAAGAGTTGCCTTCTTTTGCGGTTCTCCGATGGTTCTTTCACCACCAGTTTCATAACCACCATTGGGTAGATATCTTTCAAATATGCCATAAGTTTCTCCAGTTTGGCTTTCCTCACTCATCTGTCTTTATCTGATTCGATTTTGTTATGCAGCATTGATTTCAAGATTAGGACCATTGAACTTGATGGGAAACGAATTAAACTACAAATTTGGGATACTGCTGGACAAGAACGATTCCGAACTATCACCACTGGTATGCATATGATCAACGCAGATATCTACTCCCCTTCCCATCTCATTTCTCTAGAGCGCTATTTAATTCTGTCATGTTCTTGTGCAAATGCTTTAAAGTTTATAATTGCAGGGGGGATACTGAAAAATTCTCTCAATGCATTTATATCCGTGAGAGTAGAAATTCCTGATGGGCCTTGTGGATAACTGAGATGAAAGTAGAGGAAAGAAAATGTTTTTCTAAAATGATTATACCCATAGACTTCAGGAACCAAATCCTGGTAATTGGTGGAAAAAGACTTCTGAACTTTTTGGGTCAGGCAAAACAAAAAATCTTCGTAGTTGCACTTTATTACTATTCATTCTAGTTTTTCCCTATGAATTTGAAACATGTTACTCTTACAAGTATGTGAGTTGATTATCTCTGTCCATTTTGGAGAGAGATTTATATGTATAATTTTTTTTTGAATTTTGAATTATGATATTTTCTGCCTTTAACCATGGAAGGAAGGATTAGTGAAATATTCATAGTGAGGACCTCCATTCTCAATTGATCCACCTATTCCATAAAAAGCATGCATCACATGGAATATTTTCCCGTTTGGTCAATGGTGTTCATGAAGTTGTGCTTTTGGGGATTGATTCTTTTGATCATCATTTGGTCTTCTCTATCTGCATGTTCTACTGCATTATTCTTGTCTTGAATTTGCCACTTTCTTTTCCTAAGTAATTGCTTCTTATGCAGCTTACTACCGTGGAGCAATGGGCATATTGCTGGTGTACGATGTGACTGATGAATCGTCCTTTAACAGTAATTACTCCCTATTCTTACCATCAATACGTTTTTGTTGACTTATAATTATTCTCGCCTCATTGGCCCAGAAGAGAACTTCTTTTATTTGTTTGAATTGAATCCTTGAATTCTTACTCTTCCTTTAATTGTCACTAATTTTTGTTACTACATATGAATTTTCAATCGAATGACTAGCTTTTCATGATGTAATATGTTCTATCTTGTCAAAAGACCCTAAAATGACTTCTGCATTTGTTTAGACATTAGGAATTGGATCCGAAACATTGAACAACATGCTTCTGACAATGTCAACAAGATATTGGTGGGTAACAAAGCTGACATGGATGAAAGCAAAAGGGTATGCTCTCCTCCACCCCCACCCCCACCCCCCTATCTCTCTCACTCTCTCAGACACTTGTTGTGTATATATGTCGGCATGCATGTCTCTGACGGTTAGCATGGGTGTATGCATGTGCTATTCATGGAGTACTGTTCTGGTAGGCAATATCTAGTGGACTAGAAGAGCTCAATCAAATTGGAATTTGACGAGCATTATTTCATTCAATAGATTTTGAAAAATTCCAAGCATTAAAACAACAGATGAAAAGTGATGGAAAGGCATATAAAGATGTCATGGCAGAAAGATTAACCAGACAGATGCATATCAATCCCATGCAACTTTCCAGGGGGGTGTGTATACGTGGGACTTGGGGTGCATTGCTCTGACTGGGAATATCTAGAGCTCGAAGAACTTGGAATTTGGCAACATTGTTTCATGCAAATCAAATTATACTCATCTGACAGATTTGAAAATTCCAAGCATTGGAAAAGGCAGATTAGAAGTGATAGAAAGCCAGATTAGAAGTGATGGAAAGGCATATAAAGATGCCTTTCCAGATAGGTTAGCTAGTCACATGCATATAATTTAATTGTTTTCTAATGTGCATACATATTTCAAATCTAGCTTGTTTTTGCTATTCCAAGATTGATCTGACTTCACTCTCTTCTATACTCTCATCTACAGGCGGTTCCTACCTCCAGGGGTCAAGCACTGGCTGATGAGTATGGAATTAAATTCTTCGAGACGGTAAGTTCTTGTTGCTGATTTTGGAATTGCATACAGAAGAATTCCTTCACAATAACATTATGTAAAACAGAGTGCAAAGACAAATATGAACGTGGAAGAGGTTTTCTTCTCGATAGCCAGGGATATAAAGCAAAGACTTTCTGAAACTGACTCAAAGGCTGAGGTATCGAGTGCTTGTTTTTACCTTATGAGAATGTCTTTTCATGTTTGTGCATAATCTTGGGTCTGAACTATCTGTTTTTGGGTTATTGCAGCCTCAAACCATTAGGATTACCCAACCGGACCAGACAACAGGGGCTACTCAAGCTGCCCAAAAATCAGCGTGCTGTGGTTCTTGAGAGACTGCGTTGGAATTAGGATGACCAGATACGTCCTTAAATTGACCATTTTGAGAGAGGAATATTATGACAACATCGTTGTTGCTCCTATCGTCATCCCTCATTATTTGTAGTTGATTCGCAATTGTGTTTTGGTGGCAGATCGTTATGAATGTTTTATTGGGTTTGACTCTGTTTTAACTTTTGGTTAAACGATTTCTGTTTTTTTCAAGTGTAAAGTTCAATACAATTGAACCAAAAAGGGGGAAAAACTAGCGTGAAGTTGTAAACACTCTCTCTTTATCTTGTTCAAACAATTTTGAGGTGTTGAGTTATCTACCCTGCCCCATGGCATATGCCACACCTCGCTCCCCCAGTTTTCATCCCTTGAATCGATTTAAGCAGTTGGATTTTGCTTTAACTGTTTGGATGCTCGAAAATCTTTATCAACACTTCCACAGACATCACCACGAGCCATGTCTTTTTTGATGAAATGCGAGGAAACTATATCATGGAAAAGTGTAATCTAATGCTTGCTTCTCTTATTTTGCATCACTGTTACATTTTACAGTGAGAAGGGGGGTATTATTAATGTTAGGGGTGTCCAAAAGTCTCGAATCAAACCGAACCCGAATCGAATCGAGTGGTTCTTCATAAGTTAAATACCTGAACGGGTACCCGAATCGAGAACCGATGGGTTTGGGTTGGGTCTCGATTTTAGATCAAGAACCGAATAACCGAATAAGATTCGAAAATAAATAATTTTTTTTATTTTTTATATTGAATTAATTAAATTAAATAATTTTTTTCTAAACAAATTAATTAAATAAATCAGATCATTTCATAATTTTAATTTTAAAGCCCAATATCCAAATCATTTTAAAGCTCAAATCATTTTAAAGCCCATTTTAAAGACAAGAAACAATGGAGTTTGAGATACATTTTGCAGTTTTTGATATGGATCATTGATATTTTAATATTAATATCTACTTTTTGGTATTTGTATGCATTGAATTAATTTTATTGGATATTTAGTTATTTATATATTTTTAAATTGGGCTACGTTAATTTATAAAAGTTACGAATGAAATGTCATTAGTTGTATTTATGTAGTGTTGCTGTAAATGTTTAAAAATTTAATTATGGTATGGAACCAAACGGAACCGAACTCGAACGGTTCCATAATTATATTTGGACCCGACGGGTCCATTTATTAAATACTCGAAAGTTTTGGGTCGGTTCGATTCTCTTTAGAACCGAAACGAACCGACCCACGGACAACCCTAATTAATGTATTGCTCGTCATATTTTCCAATCAATATCCTTTGATTGCTTACACTTTGCAATGATGGGTTATTCCCCAGGATGCCCTGTGGACTTTTGTAGTCCATTTTTATGATCAAGATATAGTGCCTTAAATTTACAGCTTAAAACCTGTCTGTGCGTGTCTTTGTTTGAAAGAGAGAAAATCTCAATGATTCAACCTCCGCCAACAGGTTTAGAAGTCATATTTCGTAGGGAAAAAAAGGTTTAATAGTTTTAATAGAAAGTGTTACGCCCTTGCCAAAGTGGTAGGTAAAGTGATTTTTAGCTAATGTCAAATAAGCACTTCGCTTCCTCAGCGCTGCCTCATCGTCCAAGGTGAAAGTTTTGTGTTGCCTCGCCCACTCTCCCTTTTAGGGCATTAGAAGCAGAGCCCAGCACTTCTTGAGAACCAATGATATAGAAATAATGAATCCTATAGCTTGTTTGAGCCCTCTAAGAATGCATTTTGAAATAGTAGATTGATGGAGAATGTATTGTTAAAAAATAAGGAAAAAATCTGGATTTGTGTGTAATATTATTTTATTGAAGAATGTGTGGTTGAAAAGAAGAGAAAGAAAAATGTATTTTCGATAAAATGGGGATCAAACAAAGGCCTAATGCAAATAGATCCAAGATTTAATAGTGTCCATTTTTAATCTCGATAAAGTCAATCTTTGTTGCAATAGAAATGAACAAGATCGAATATGCGACACAACTATTAATAGACTTGTTACATTGTTACTGCGACGCGGTTGAGAGGAACCCAACACTTGGGCACACTAAGTGGGCCTCTTTTTTGGTTGAGGTCCAGCCTCTAAATGTTCCGTGCAAGTTGCAATCTCTCACATTTTGAGCCCGTGAAGATGTTCGGATGAGACCACGTGTCAAGCGTGTCAAATGTCTCATTCACATTTCATTTGCATTAAATACTCGCACTTTATGTCCTTCATATCTTTGACAATCTTTAGTTCACTCTTGAATTTCAAACTTAAAATTAAACTTGACTCCCATATTTCTTATTTCAAGAGTGTCAAAGTACGTACGATTATTGCTAGTGATAGTCTTATGTCTCTAACAAGTACATCTAACATACGTGTGGAGGGAAGATGTGCCTCTAACTTGTGCATCTAACGTAAGCTTGGAAGGAAGATATGTTGGGATCTGTTGATGCTTAGATTCGCCAAATTTGAAGGTCAACAGATGTATTCTTGACTAAAGAGTAAAACTACCAAAAAAGTGCTAAATCTGTAATTTAATTTGCTTCCTCCTGTTGTTTTCCAGACATATCGGGCCTGGAGTCGGCCCATAATCAAGTGTAATTGTCCATTTATTTCCTACTCTCTAGTGCCCCCACCTTAGCACAGAAGCAACTGCAAAACACAACTTGATAGGTATACAATATACGTACAACCGACGTTATAGAGAGAGAAAATAGAGGACAGATGGCTTTCAATAGGTGGACACCGCAGCGTAGAGAGAGAAACCAGTATTCATAGGTACAGATGTGGGTGGTGCTGTGAGTAAAACGACAAGAAAAGTTTTAGAGAGAGGAAAAGATTGTTGCGTGTGAGTGGTGGAAAAGAGGGTGGGCCGGGGGTTGGGGGTGGTGGTGGACCGGTGGAGTGGTTGTAGGGATTATCCCCTAATGCGCATTCTGGCAAGTAGCATCAGCATCCTCACCCTTGATCCTAGTCGTCATCATCCATCCACCCCACCATCCACGCAACCGCCTAATCCCTTTCGCACTACAAATTACTTTTGCTATTCATTGTCTATATGCTACCTCATGATATCAACCACCTCAACCACCCCCACCACCACTCCCAACCACCCCATCTTGCTGTCGTGTGCTTCATATTCATCCCCCATTAGCACAAAAAACACTCATCCATTTACCCTCCTAATTCTTCGTGTATATCTCGTTCAATTTCCTCCGCCGTCTTGCTAACGCGCGCCTCCTCAATCAAATCCTCTCCACCACCAGTCCACCGCTGTTCTTTCACACTTGGTCTATATCGTTCAACCCACATCCTGTTTTTATTAAAGTTTTGTTTTTTTCCCGTCAAGATGAGAACTTTTTTCATCTGCAACCTCAATATCGCCCTGCTAACGTAAGCCCTCACCACCGCCAGCTGAACAGATCTATAGATCTTCGACTCCCCCAGGTTGGCTAACGTGCGCCGTTTGTCTTGATTTCGCTTTCCGATCACTTATTGTCCATTCCAAACAAGCCATGTCATCCACCACATCGGCCACTTCTCTGGCGGCGGCGGCGGCGGCGGCCGCCGACGCTGTGGAAAAACCTCCACGGAGATTTCCACCGCCTTGCTGGACCCAAGAGGAGACGCTGGCTCTGATTGACGCCTACCGTGAACGGTGGTACTCACTCCGCAGAGGGTACCTGCGCACGGCGGACTGGGATGCAGTGGCGGCCATCGTCAACAGCCGCTTCTCCGACGCACCCATTCCCAAGACCTCGGCGCAGTGCCGCCACAAGATGGAGAAGCTCCGCCAGCGCTACCGAGCTGAGAAGCAGCGGTCTCTTTCCTATCCGTACCCAGGCGGTTGTTTCATCTCCTCCTGGTTCTTCTTCGACTATATGGACGCCATGGAGAACGAAACAGACCCACCCTCGGCCGAAACTGGATCGGGTGATAATCCCGATAATACTGCCCTATTGAAATCATTTCTCGATCAGAGCATACTGAAACTGAAGCTCAAATCGAAGAATAGTGTCAATTCTAGCCCCGTTTTGGAAGCGAAAAATTCCGAACATACTCCATACTTGAACATGGGAGACAATAAAGAGGAGCAGGATCATACCAGTTTCGGAACTAAATTTCGTTCTGAAAAGACTATGGGAGGATTTTCAATGCCTCCTGTGAAGTTTAAAGCGAAGAATTCCAATATCAGCGGTGGGTTTCATATGAAATCTTCTGGAAATGAAGATATGATTCCCCCAGGATTAAGAATCAAGAAGTTGGACAGAAGAATGAATCCTGATTTTAACAATGGAGATGAAGAATATTGGGGTGTGAGAGGTAGTATGAAGAGGGCGAGGAATCCAGTGGAGGAAATGGTGGAATCAATTAAGTTATTGGGAGAAGGATTGGTGAAAATGGAGAAAGCCAAGATGGAAATGGCTAGAGAAATGGAAACAGCAAGAATGGAAATGGAGTTGAAGCGCAATGAGATGATACTGGAATCACAGAGACAAATTGTGGATGCTTTTGTCAAGGGATTATTCCATCTCAAGAAGGCAAAAATCGCCACCGTTTCATCGGATTCATAGTTGTTGGCGACATCGTGAAAACGGTTCTGGACAAGACAGAGACAAGACCTGATGGATTTTAGCTTCTTTTT